TTTAAAATAAAACATGTAAAGTAATTGCAAATTAATTGAAAATAATTTATATTTGTTTAATTATAATGTTTATAATCTATATATTTTCAATAAAACATAAAAAAAAATCAATATTGACCTGTAAAGTATTATAAAAAAGATAGTTTCCCGTTTTTCCCCAAATTTCCCGGGAAATTTACATCCTTACGTATAATATATAAAAAATAAATTTTAATCCGAGGCTTACAAAAACCTTATAAAGAGCACATCTAGAATTTTGCCCACCTGGTTTAACAAATGGTCAATCAAAAAAAACAAATATCTGCTTTCCAATTCAAAACAAGTTTTATTTTACCACAGTGATAAAATATGGTAAAAATAAAAAACTTAGATGATTAATATTAGTGATACTGATAAAGCAGAAACAATTCAAGAGAGCATCCTCAAATTTTCCGAATTTTATTGGAAACCTACGAATACCAAAAAAACTTTTAAAGAAGAATTGACAGCAATTTGGCCAGTGAACTTAAGTTTCCAAATGATACTAATCGCAGAAAAAAATGCAAGTATTTCACATTCATTGCATTTATTAAACTTGGAATTGTTATTTCAATAGTCACGATTTTAATATTTAAAGAACCTAATATAAAGGTGTTCTTCTAAAATATAGCAACACTATACTACCTTCACATATACACATTAGGTTGAAGGAACTTTTTAGTGACAAAGGGTGTGTTGAAATGCCTCAGTGATACAAACTATGAGATGGTTTTATAATAAAAGCGAGTAATATATAATAATTTAATTATAAATAAATAAAATATCAGAATTATATCGTAATTGTATCATGTATCTCAATATGTTTTATATATCTATATATTTTAAATATATCCTTTAACAACAACAATATGTGAAAAATATATTACAGAAAGTAGGTAAAAACATTTTTGGAACATGGGAGAAATCCCTGTTAAAACAGAAAAAAATATGTCCTATCTAGAATAAAGTGATATCTACTTGATCCTTCATTTCCTGAAAATAAATAATAGTTAGGGTTGCCACCTGTCATCCTTTTCTGGAAAATCTTAGATTAAATGTCCTATGTAATAAGAAGTAGAAAATCCTCCCTTTTTATTCTGAGTCTTCTTGCAATTACCACATTTAGAGAAAAAATTCTATAATGAATGAAAAATGGACATGAGAAGAAAAAAAATAATCGACAGAATTAATAAAAAATAAAACAATTATTTATATTTAAAAAAATTGAAACCTCCAAACATTTATGAGAAGGAATAAAATAATCAACGCATTAAAAATTTCGAAATTCAATCATAATAATGTAAAATAATGTTTACATTCACTGACATAACTGGGAAGGGAAGGGAGGTAGTATGCAGAAAATTTTATTCTAAGCAAATTAAAATTACTTGTACACTCCCCCCACTCCCTTTATTCAAAAAAATTAATTGCCAGAAGATAAAAAAAAATTTTAAATCACATTTTGAATTTTTCGGGAAAAAGTGTAAAACTCTTCAGATATTGGAAAATGTTTTGCTGTATTGAATTCACTTTAGGGCTTAAAAAAATAGTATAAAAAACAAGTCCCTTTTTGCTCTAAATGCTCTGGCAGCAATTGTAGGTGGGACACACATAAGATAAGATCTTCGCTCTATATGACAGACTAATGAACTTTCAATTGTATATATCGCAATTCCATTTTGAATATCAGTTTTTAATCCTAGAAAAATATACATTTAATAATTATATACAATGAATATAGCCTAGCAATTAGTGCCGTAAATTGTTGTTTGGGCTCATAAATTTTTTTTTAAATCAAACTAGGCCAGGCTTGAAGAATATTTTTTTTAAAAATTGAAAAAAATAATATGGAACATTTTATCAGAATATAAATGTAATTTATTTGTAAAAACAAATTAATTGATTTTGTGTATTGTTGGGTCTAATTTATAAGCCATACGTTTAAAATATAAAAAAAATTGGGTGAAGCCCAGAACAATTGAATTTGCAAGGACGGATCTATAATGGATTTTTAAAAAATGTAATTCAAATACATATTCAGTCGTTTTTTACCATATTACATTTATTACGAGCATGGCACTCTTCACAAATGGTGAGGCATTTGCTCTTAAAATAGTCTAATTTCTATCGGTCAGGACTTGATTTATTCAATGTTTGATCTTTGTAAACCAAATTAGTTAGAATTATCTTATAAAGATAACTGGTAGAAATTTGGAAAAAGTGATTCAGAGGATTTTGACAAACTTTTCCAAGATCTCCAACCAAAAAAATTGAATAACCTATATTATTACGAGGTTCTAACAAAAAAAATTACAAATTTGACATTTGATCATCTAAATTTTATAAAAAAAAAGATTTAATGTTAATTTTGTTAAAAGACAGCTGGCGGTTGAAATTACTGATTTGCATTGAGCCTAATTTTTCAAGCCTGACCAAAAATTATTTTTAAAAAATAACCCAGTCCAATGCCAAACAAAATCTGTCCCAAAAAGCCCAGCCCAAAATAAATATTATTTAAATGCCTGATACAAGATTACATAATTAATAGAAATTTATAATATTTTTGTCTACAAATAAAAGGATAGAGTGTGTTGGGGGGCCACATGATGATTTGCAGATCATGAGTCGATATACAAGAGCTCCATTTCAAGTTGACTAATGCATAATAAAAATTATATTGCAAAACAAAATGTTTTAAAAAATTAAAGGTATGATTCAAAGAAAAGTCAGGGTTAGTGCAAAGACCAAATATGTGAGTTAATTCATTTTTTTCAACTCTATTAACATTACAAGATTTTATAAAATTGAATATTTTTTGGTTAAAATCTGAAGAATTTTTACAGTGCAAATAAATGTATTATTTTTATGAAATTTATCATTATCAAAAAAAATGATTTGTAACTTTTAAAATTTGTGTAGCTTTCAATTTAGTTGTGTAAGTAAATAAATTTGCCTTTTTAAAGTGTTTTTTTTAATAAGTGGGTCAAAAACAAAAAATGTTGTAATTTAGAATTATCTATATTTGATTTAAAAATTTTAAGCATTCCATAAAGCCATCATTGTCGGTGATTTCAGATATAGTAAAATAAGAATTGGCTAATATGTATGTGTACCATACACTCATATTTTGCCAAATGGTCTTTAAAAAAAGATATATTTTTTACAAATTTAAGGCTGTTATTATAATAAAGACATTTCCAGCCCACAAATATTTTTGCAGCTAATCTAATCAAACCTATTTAAAATCAAAAAAATATTATTATATGTAGTTATGTAATGTAAAATCATTTTAATGTATGTAAATTCGTGCAAAAAAATAGTATATGTGATAAATTAATAAACCTTTTCAATCATGTATTTGTTCAATCTGTTATTCACACCAAACCATCAAAAATATATTATTTTAAATAAAATATAATCTAAATGTATCAAATTTTTGTAAAAAAAAAATTAAAAATATCTTTGGTACATAATAAGGTTAGTAGCTAACACAAAGAAATCATCCATTAGTAATATAAATATAATATAGAATGGTGGTGGTCCAACTTTATTCAATTCTAACCAATCTATGATGGGTTTAGCTGAATGGCCCAAATACTGTCCTTTCAGACCATAGAGATTTTACATAATTATCAGATATAATATTCAAATATAAAAATAAATTTAATTAATAAGGAAGTAACAAATTTTTTAATTTTTCTGCCCAATTTTAACAGGGCCTAATTGAGAATAATAAGAAGAGAAATAAAAAAAAAGTTCTAATAAAAAAATATCAAATATCTCTCGGTTTTAAAAATTTTGAATTTGTTACATATTTATTAATAAAAGCATAAATTTTTCGAATCTTTCTAAAAGTTTATTTTTAAATTTGGACAATTTAATTTTGTTAAAATAACTTGAATATCAATAAATATGTTCCATTAAGTATTGGATTTAGTGGTGAAACAAATCATATAGTGAAAGTATAACAAAAATATTGTTTTCCAAAGAAGCGTAAAATATTTTAAAACTATAATTAAAGCATTATTCATATATATATACATCATTTAGGATATGTTAGGCTAAAATTAACAATAACTACATATTATTTTAGCATTTATTTGCTTTGGGGTGGGATCATTACCAAAAATATGCCCCTTAAATATTCAATTTTCTATGATAATCAGTAAAATATGAACAAGATATATGTATTTTTTTTTAAAAAAATCATAGAAGAAAGTCAAATTTTTTTAATTAAATATAAAAATTAAGTAAATTCATATTACAATAACAAAGGTGTGACTAAGAACAAAATCATATTGGTCATATTATCAAATGATCTATTATAGTTGGTATATTAATTTGGAGTCAAATAATTAGTGTCTTAATTAAGACTGATAACTATATTTTTAAATCACTTAACTTTAGCCAACTTTAATATGGTTAAGCCAAGTCTCAAATCAAAGATTGTGCAAAAATGGATAAAAATTTAGAAGCCATAAATAAGCAAAACTGGACTGGCATTAACATTCAATAATTTTATATAAAATTCAGGATACTGTAACCATCTGTGAGGTTCAGTATATAAATGTATGATTATGGTGTGAATAACATAATATGGAAATCAAATCAATTTATGTTTTTAAAAAAGTAGCATGTTTGAAAAGGTTTGTTGTTCATAATAATAATATTTAAATATCGATTATTCAAATTAAATAATTCCTCAAAATCCTGTCTATATATTTTAATTTCTAGCTTGTAAATATAGAATTTTAGTAATTTATTTTCATTTGAGGAATAAAAGAAATATTAATAAAATTTAAAGCAATCCTTATATCTAATGGGCATAAGAACAAATAAGTAACAAGAATGGTTTAAATTTATGCTATCATATTTAAAAATAAATAAAATTTATTATATTAATATAGTCTGTGAAAAATATTTTTTGTCACATTTAATATTTGGGCATGTGCTCAAAACTCAAATTTAAAAATAAATGTTACCGGGAATTGTTCATGAGGTTTAAACATAGGTCGTGCTTGGGACATATCTTGATTCATATTCATAGGATTCATTTGGTTAGGAAAGGGAACATTTGATTGTGAATAATTTTGTTGATAAGAATTGAAATTTCCCTAAAATTATTTGTAATTATATCATTCCATAATAAAGTTTTTAAAACTTGATAGAAATTGTCTCTATTTTGGCCAGACCCATCTTTATTCCTAATAAATTATTTTAACATAACTTTTTTTTAATTTAGCAAGTAAACTTTTTAAATTGAGCAATTCCTTCTTCCATTCTTCTGAGTTCTTCTTGTCTTCGCATCAAATCTATAAATAATGAATTGGTTTTAGGGGAATTGTATTTAATTTCTGCATAATCATGGAATTCAATGATATCTCACATTATACCCATCCTAGCTCAACAAAATCATGTACCAACAAATTTGTGAATATTAAATACAAATTGAAAATTAGTTATAGTTCTTTTCTAGGATACACTTATATGATTAAATTTAAAAAAATTCAAAAATAATTTTGTTGAACAACAGGACATAATTTTCTAATTTAATGGTATAAACTGATTTATTGTGAATCATGTTTTTAATAACCTTGTCTTAGCATCATAGTTTGATGTTCATGTAAAGTGTTTTCCATGTCATTTTCTAACACTTCCCTATCTTCCTGAATTTTTTTCTCAAGCAATTCTCTTTGTATTTTTTCTTGTTGGTAAAGAGCTTTCCATTTATTGCCATAATCATATTCAAAAGTTCCTGGAGGAGCAAATTTTGGTGATTGACTCATTTCTCTGCAAGAATTTATATAAATAATCAACCAAAATTTAAATAAACTTTAAATATTCCGGTGTCTTCATCACACTCTTTTCACTCACGCCAGCATCATTATCTTGTGTTTCATAAGGTTCCACAACAACTGGCCTCATAGATCTATATTGCAAATATTATGATGCAATATTAATATAAAAATTTACCCAGTAACCAAAAATACGCCTTCATTTATTTTTTTCATAGCCATTTGGCAATTATTTTTCCTAGAAAATTCAACAATTGCTTCACCAGTACTTTTGCCTCTTTCATCAGCAATAACAACTGCTCTATCTAAAGGTCCAAAAATAGAAAATGCAACAAGCAATGTTTCGTTAGTTGCATGCTGGGATAAGTTTAGAACTTTTAAGGCTGTTCCAGATGTTGAAATTCTAACCCTCAAAATTTTGTTATTTAATATTAATCCATCCAAATCACATTTGGCTTTTTCAGCCATTGCTTTTGATTCCTATATATAAATACATAAATAAATAATTCAAATAAAATTTACTAATTTAATAAAGCCAAATCCCTTGTTGGAAACAAAAACATCTGTAGCTTCTCCATAATCTTTGAATATATTTTTGAAGTCTTCTTCTGATATATCGTTAATTATGTTAGCAACAAATAAACGGCATTTCCCGGATGGCTTAGGTATATCCATCTCGGGCATTGGTTCGTTAACTGGTGTTATAGGATTTATCTGGTTTGGTACATTTTTATTTTGGTAAAAGCTTCTATTACCCATTTGTTTTGTGTTATCATTCTTATTTCCATAATTAGGATTCGATTTCTGTCCAACATTGAATGACTTACTCATTTTTGTGCTTTTAAAAATATTAAAAAGATGGCGAATTTTTTATTAATGAAAAAGAGATAAATTATGTCAAATTTTAAAACCAAATTAAATACTATTATAAAATTAAATGTTTGATTTAAGTATAATACAATCATATCCGATCCAATTTATAATAACCTCGTAGTATATTTAACCCAATTTCTATTAAAAATGTATAAATTATATTAATAAAATATTACAAATTATTTTTGTGTTTGTATTCAATGTTATTTATATCTTTTTGAGAATATTTAATATATGTATTAAGAGTATATGTATATTTTTATAAAAAGTCCGTTTTGGATCGATTTCGAAAAACCATCAATAGCCCAAATAATTTTTAGCCTCGAGATTCAGCAAATATATTCTAAACTTTTGTTGTCTATAAGCAAAATCTCCAGGTTGTAAGCCTCAAGATTTGGCAAGTAGAAGCCTAAACATTTGTGTCATCTATGAGTAAAATCACCAGGCTTTAATAAATGAGAGTATTATATAATTTAAATAGAATGGAAGTAAGATGAAAATGGTATCGTGATTACATTGTTAGATATAACCATTTTATTCAAATATTATTATAAATAAAGATAATATTTTATTTTTATATTTTTAGATTATCATATATATAAAACTTAAAACAAAAATAATAATTTTGAAGCTTTAAAATGTTACATTTTTGTTAATGATCAAGTTATCACATTTCTTTCGCTTTATATCTATATTATAATTTTCCGATGTCCTCATTACGTCATCGTGACGTCATGTCATCGCTACGTCATGTCATCGGTACGTACTTATTTTTATTTTTTATTGATTTTATTTTATTTTTTTTATAGAAAATATTTTTAGACATGAAGCCCAATAAAATCTACCTAATGCAAAATAAAGTTATTCATCTATATATACTAAAAAGGCTTATACTTTTCATTTTAGAATACTTAGCTTATGATGGATGATATTCCCACTATTTCTAGAGAGGTTAACCTAATATTGACTCCTCTTCAAGTTTAATACATTAATTTTTTATTTATTCTTTTGTTTTTATTTTAGATAACAAGCCATGTCACAACCTCACTTAATGATTGTACAGGTGGTATATTGACTCCTCATCAGGTTCAATGCATTTATTTTTTTTTCTTATTCTTTTGTTTTTATTTTAGGTAACAAGCCATGTCCTAACCTCAGTTAATGATTGTACAGGTGGTGATTTATCCATCATTAATAAAAGAAAAAGATGGCAGATCAATCAAAAAAAGAAACGCACTAGGGATAGCGAGGCCCTACAAAATCTACTAACAACTCAAAATAAAGTTAGCCTTATATATATTTTTTTTATACTCTTTTATATTATAGAATACATCTATTTTAGCTTCTGATAATGTCCCAACTATTTCTAGGGAGTTGAACCTATTATTGACACCTCTTCAGGTTCATTGCATTTAAATTCTTTATATTATTCTTTGTTTTTATTTTAGATAACAAGCCATGTCTTACCCTCATTTAATGATTGTACAGGTGGTATATTGACTCCTCATCAAGTTCAATGCATTTATTTTTTTTATTTATTCTTTTGTTTCTATTTTAGATAACAAGTCATGTCCTAACCTCAGTTAATGATTGTACAGGTGGTGATTTATCCTTCATTAATAAAAGAAAAAGATGGCTGATCAATCTAAGAAACGCACTAGGGATAGCGAGGCCCTACAAAATCTACTAACAACTCAAAATAAAGTTAGCCTTATATATATATTTTTTTTATACTCTTTTATATTATAGAATACATCTATTTTAGCTTCTGATAATGTCCCCACTATTTCTAGGGAGTTGAACCTAATATTGACTCCTCTTCAGGTTCATTGCATTTATATTCTTTATATTATTCTTTGTTTTTATTTTAGATAACAAGCCCTGTCTTACCCTCATTTAATGATTGTACAGGTGGTATATTGACTCCTCATCAAGTTCAATGCATTTATTTTTTTTATTTATTCTTTTGTTTTTATTTTAGATAACAAGCCATGTCCTAACCTCAGTTATTGATTGTACAGGTGGTGATTTATCCGTCATTAATAAAAGAAAAAGATGGCAGATCAATCAAAAAAAGAAACGCACTAGGGATAGCGAGGCCCTACAAAATCTACTAACAACTCAAAATAAAGTTAGCCTTATATATATTTTTTTATACTCTTTTATATTATAGAATACATCTATTTTAACTTCTGATAATGTCCCCACTATTTCTAGGAGTTGAACCTTATATTGACTCCTCTTCAGGTTCAATGCATTTATATTTTTTAATTTATTCTTCTGTTTTTATTTTAGATAACAAACCCTTCTTTATTTCCTCCTTATAATTGTTTAAATATTGATATATCTACCATTAATAATAAACAAATACAAAATAAATGTTCAGAAAAACACGATAGTCTTGACAAGTCCCCAACTAGACAAATTTTATTTTTTGATGATAGCCTCCCAACTACTAGAGATATGCATATAATGACCCCTTTACAGGTTCAGTACAGTATTTTAATGTTCGTTTTATTTCAATAATAATGTTTTATATTTATGCCTGATTTCCTTATTTTTTTTAGGTTAACCCAAACTTAATCCCTCACATAGCTACAAAAGGCCATGACTAAAATACGAATTGCTATAAACTACGAATTGCCAGGTAAATTGCGAATTGCCATGTCTAAACTACGAATTGCGTAAATTAATGTTAAATTTAGATAAAATTATGGAAGATTGGATGACTAAACTACGAATTGCCGTATATAATGTTAAATTAAATAGAATAAACTACGAATTGCAATATTTTATGTTAAATTAAAATGACTAAACTGCGAATTGCCGTATTTAATGTTAAAATAAAATGACTAAACTACGAATTGCCGTATCTAATCTTAAAATAAAGTGACTAAACTACGAATTGCCGTATCTAATCTTAAAATAAAGAGACTAAACTACGAATTGCCGTATTTAATATTAAAATAAAGTGACTAAACTACGAATTGCCGTATTTTATATTAAATTAAAATGACTAAACTGAATTGCCGTTATATAATGTTAAATTAAAATGACTAAACTACGAATTGCCGTAATTAATGTCTAAACAGTATATTTTGTTAAATTAAAATGACTAAACTACGAATTGCGGTTTATAATGTTAAATTAAATTAAGTAAACTACGAATTGCCGTATTTAATGTTAAATTAAAATGACTAAACTACGAATTGCCGTAATTAATGTTAAATTAAATTTTCTAAACAGTATATGATGTTAAATTAAAATGACTAAACTGCGAATTGCCGTATTATATGTTAAATAAAAATGACTAAACTACGAATTGCGGTTGTTAATGTTAAATTATAATTAGTAAACTACGAATTGCCATATTTAATGTTAAATTAAAATGACTAAACTACGAATTGCCGTAATTAATGTTAAATTAAATTTTCTAAACAGTATTTAATGTTTAATTATAATGACTAAACTGCGAATTGCCGTTATATAATGTTAAATTAAAATGACTAAACTACTAATTGCCGTAATTAATGTTAAATTATATTTTTTAAACAGTATATGATGTTAAATTAAAATGACTAAACTGCCAATTGCCGTATTTAATGTTTAATTATAATGACTAAACTACGAATTGCGGTTGTTGATGTTAAATTATAATGAGTAAACTACGAATTGCCATATTTAATGTTAAATTAAAATGACTAAACTACGCATTGCCGTAATTAATGTTAAATTAAATTTTCTAAACAGTATATTATGTTAAATTAAAATGACTAATCTACGAATTGCGGTTTATAATGTTAAATTAAATTAAGTAAACTACCAATTGCGGTTGTTAATGTTAAATTTTAATGACTAAAGTACGAATTGCTGTAATTAATGTTAAATTAAAATGACTAAACTACGAATAGCCGTATTTAATGTTAAAATAAAATGAATAAACTGCGAATTGCTGTATTTAATGTTAAAATAAAATGACTAAACTGCGAATTGCCGTATTTAATGATAAATTAAAATGAGTAAACTACGAATTGCCATATATAATGTTTAAATATAATGAATAAACTACGAATTGCGGTATTTAATGTTAAATTAAAATGAATAAATTACGAATTGCCGTATTTTATGTTAAATTAAAATGACTAAACTGCGAATTGCCGTATTTAATGTTAAAATAAAATGACTAAACTGCGAATTGCCGTATTTAATGTTAAAATAAAATGCCTAAACTGCGAATTGCCGCATTTAATGATAAATTAAAATTAGTAAACTACGAATTGCCGTTATATAATGTTAAATTAAAATGACTAAACAACGAATTGCCGTAATTAATGTTAAATTAAATTTTCTAAACAGTATATTATGTTAAATTAAAATGACTAAACTACGAATTGCCATATTTAATGTTAAATTATAATGACTAAACTACGAATTGCGGTTTATAATCTTAAATTAAATTAAGTAAACTACGAATTGCCGTATTTAATGTTAAATTAAATTGTCTAAACAGTATATGATGTTAAAATAAAATGACTAAACTGCGAATTGCCGTTATATAATGTTTAATTATATACACTAAGCTACTAATTGCGATTGTTAATGTTAAATTATAATGACTAAACTACGAATTGCCGTATATAATGTTAAATTAAATTTTCTAAACAGTATATGATGTTAAATTAAAATGACTAAACTGCGAATTGCCGTATATAATGTTAAATTAAAATGACTAAACTACGAATTGCCGTAATTAATGTTAAATTAAATTTTCTAAACAGTATATAATGTTAAATTAAAATGACTAAACTGCGAATTGCCGTATTATATGTTAAATAAAAATGACTAAACTACGAATTGCGGTTGTTAATGTTAAATTAAAATTAGTAAACTACGAATTGCCATATTTAATGTTAAATTAAAATGACTAAACTACGAATTGCCGTAATTAATGTTTAATTTTCTAAACAGTATTTAATGTTTAATTATAATGACTAAACTGCGAATTGCCGTTATATAATGTTAAATTAAAATGACTAAACTACGAATTGCCGTAATTAATGTTAAATTATATTTTCTAAACAGTATATGATGTTAAATTAAAATGACTAAACTGTCAATTGCCGTATTTAATGTTTATATAATGACTAAACTACGAATTGCGGTTGTTGATGTTAAATTATAATGAGTAAACTACGAATTGCCATATTTAATGTTAAATTAAAATGACTAAGCTACGCATTGCCGTAATTAATGTTAAATTAAATTTTCTAAACAGTATATTATGTTAAATTAAAATGACTAAACTACGAATTGCGGTTTATAATGTTAAATTAAATTAAGTAAACTACGAATTGCCGTATTTAATGTTAAATTAAAATGTCTAAACAGTATATGATGTTAAAATAAAATGACTAAACTGTGAATTGCCGTTATATAATGTTAAATTATAATGACTAAACTACTAATTGCGATTTTTAATGTTAAATTATAATGACTAAACTACGAATTGTGGTTGTTAATTATAATGACTAAACTACTAATAGCCGTATATAATGTTAAATTAAATTTTCTAAACAGTATATGATGTTAAATTAATATGACTAAACTGCGAATTGCCGTATTTAATGTTAAAATAAAATGACTAAACTGCGAATTGCCGTATTTAATGTTAAATTAAAATAACTAAACTACGAATTGCCGTATATAAGGTAAAATTAAAATAACTAAACTAAGAATTGCCGTAATTAACGTTATATTATGATAACTTAACTGTGATATAAACAAAATGATGATAATAAATAAACTTGGGCAATCAAATTAGATTTTATCAACTATTTTACCATACATTTACACTATATTTCCCTGAAAACAAAATTTAAACATTAACACCTATTATAATATATCATTTATTTCTTATTATATTTATAAAATTGACTACAATTTTGATCATTTATAGACATAATCCTCTCTATATATCAAAAAAAAAGACTATTTAGATATTAATTAGGTTATTTATTTTACAATTTCAAAATATAAGAATAAAAAAAATGTAAATATATATTTAGAAAATAACATAATTATTGACCCATTATTTTTTAAATATATATATTTATTATAAATAATTAATTTAGTTCATAAATTTACAAAATATACATTCATTAATTTTCAAAAAATTACATAACTAAAATAGTAAAATATTTAATAAGTTGTTTTGATCATCATGCTGGGAACCTTTTTAACTCCATACGAAATTTTCATACGAGGCTTTTATGAATGCATTTTATAAAATATATATTTTGTGTCATAATTTTAAAATGAAAATGAGTTATACCATAAATCCTTTTGTCTTATTCGAAGCTCGGGTAGGTAGATCCGAATTACGCTTAGATTCATATATCAATTCCCTCTAATATTCTTTGTCGATCATTCTAATAACATATTAAAATGTCATATTTTTAAAATAAAATTAGTGAGTGGTATGCCATGGCTAAAAGAATCTCAATATTTCTAAATTTATTAATTCCCCTCTTATTTATCTTGTACACTATGTGTATTTTAATATAAATTAATATCTATAAACCTGAAAAATTATCTCAAATTATTAAAATATTTTACAAATATATTTTGCATTTAACATTAATTCAATTATATAGAGATAACAGAAATGTTAAAATAAATTTAATTCGGTGAGCGCGTCAAGTCATATTATTCAAAATTAGAACATTTATAAATAAACAAATAATTATTTTATATTATAGGCGTGGTAGGACAATTTTTTAATGAGCAAATTTTTAAAACAAAAGACGTGGTAGCCGATTTTATTTAGAAATTATCTCAATGAAGACCTCTAATCTTCGATCATAATAAATCTCACTATATTCATATTATATATTATATCATATATTTATAAAGAAAAATAAATATAATACAAAAAATTAATTTACCATCATCGTTAGTACCATATTAATTTATCAGTGCTACATAACTATCTACGGTGGCCTTTTTCCCCTCATATTTTTTTTCATATTCAAATCACTTATTTTATGTCCCTATGACTTTTATTGGTATGGACATATATATCGTGCCTTCATCACATTTCTCATCATGGAAAATATAAATATTATCATCTGTAATCTTATATATAATTATATTAATATCTTGATACCTAACAAATTATCTCAAATTATTATAAATTAAACTTTGAATCTAATATTAAATCAATCAAATAATTATAGAGGTATATTACGGGCAGGTTACAATATATTTAAATATTTAGTAGGCGTCATATATATTTAAAAAATTCCCCATTAAGCCCTATTAACCTTGCTATATTGTTTTTGTTTATTCAATAAAATTATAAATAAATAAGAATATAATTTACCAAGATTTAATTGCCATAATGCCAGGGTCAATCGACAGATATCGAAACTATGTAAATCTTTGTCTCCTCATAGTTTTTATCCCCAATAAAAGCATTAATTTGGTGTCCCATATTCGATCTCGTCATAGAATACATTTTAGTGCTTTAATGACCTTTCTCGCCATAAATTATTTATTTTATCTCCTCATGATCTATCACGCCATCAAAAGCACATATGTTTTTCGTGATCCTTCACGCCATATTATTTAATAAACTTTATAATTTTTTTTTAAATTTTCTAGATCTTCTAAAATGAGATAGTTTTTTCGAACCTTTAGGTCTCATCAGCGTTATTTTACCATATGACGATGTAATATATTTAGAGATTGTTGTTGATTTATGATTATTTGAACCTACTTCAGCTGTAGATTCCTTAATAAATTTTAAAAGGGATACCCTATCATGTTTACTTAAATCAGAATCGATATAATAATCTCCTAGTCCAATTACTGCTCGTTCTAATTCTTTTTCATAGTAAAAGACTTGGTCGGATATAATGGTTATTAATGTATGCAAAGGAACAACCTTTTTTATCATCATCTTTAGGACACTATTCATTGATTCACTGTTGTTATTAGTATAAACTTGTGATATAAACTTGTTCTTTAAAGGTATATACACGTATTCATAAAGTTTTTTTTCGAAACTTTTAAACATATTCTTAAGAAATTTATCATATTTATTAACTATGCAAATATTTCGAAATTTTAACATTTTTTTTCTTAACATAATGTCATCAGTGGAATATATTATTCCATTTTCACCAAAAATCATATTACTTATATATTCTCTTAATCTCATAGGGACCCCTTGACTATTTTTCAAAGAGATTGACAAATTTCTCCTCATGTGAAGTGTGCATAATAAATGTTTGGAAGTAATAAAATTTTTACGTAAAGCCGAAACCATGGCAAATTCTTCGTCGGATCCGAAAATAATATTCTCCACATTAATTTGGTGCTTTTTAAAAACACCCTGTAGCTCAGAAAAAAATATATTATATGTCCGGTAATCTGAATTACCGTGCAAAAATATTGGACCGAAAAATAATGGATGTACTTTATCTTTCAACCCCGTTTTACAAAGAGCTATATGCTTGAACACAGTAGGCGTCACAAAGAGTTCGCTTAAATTGTAGGTTTTATCAACGCTAAGAATACTTCGTTGCTTTCCCGTACAACATTTTTGTAATTTAAATAGATAGCCTTTTTTTGTACTTAACAAAAGATATAGATAGCCCCTATCAAATATTTTGATAAAAGGAGTTAACCCACTAATTGGTAAATCCGAGATTTCCCCTTCATGTGTTAAAAAATTATTTAGAAATTTAACTATCTCCGGGTTTGGGAAATAGTTTTGAAACTTAATATGGGATAGACTGGGCTTGAAAAATATTCCTCAAGATTAATATTTGCTTGCACCTGACTTGGGAATATCTTATACAAATTATTATGGGCCGGGCTAGGAAAAAATTTTCAAAATTATTATGGGTTGAGCTAGGCTTAAGAATTTTTTTTATAAATTATAAGGTCTTGAACGCGTGGAAAATTTTTTCCAAATATTATGAGGATGGACCTGGCTTGAAATTTTTTAATGTTAAATGTTAGTCTTATGTAACCAGTAATATATTTACAAAGAATTTTGGTATTGGGTACAAGCTCATTTAAATATATTTTGACTCAAATAATAGTTTCCACTCTTAGTCCTAATGGGTTGGACTCAATGACATTGCTTGGACTTGACCTAAATGGGGAGAGGGGGGGGGGTTTAAAAATTATATAAATTGGATATGATTTTTAAATAAAAGGTAACATCTTTCTTAAAAAAACGAATAAAATTCTCATTCTCCGTCATTTTTGACGGGGTATCTACTAGTATTATATAAAATTTCATACAAATTATTTGATAAAAGCACATTTAAAAAAATATAAATAAATATATAAATAAAAAATAGATATTTAGATGAAAATTAAAGAAAGATTTTAACACTTTAAGAAATAAAAGAAATACCAAAAAAATAGGATAAAAGACTAATCTAAAATTTAGAAATTATTTTTTCTTACAGTTGTTTTTATTCAGTTTTTTTGGTAAACAAGGAAGAAAAAAATATTTTTATATATTTTTTAATCTTAAATGGTTATGATTTAACCTTAAATGATAGGGAATTGGTCTTAAATAATATTAATCGGATAAAAGAAAACTGGTAGATTTATCAATTTTATAGATTCGGTAGAGTTCTATATCTCGCTATTTTTCTGCTTGGGAGACCACTTTACGTTTAAATAATCTAAGTCCAACTAAATCTCAAAATAAAGACATCTTTTCAGCAATTTTTGATAATAAAAATGAAATGGTATCGCGGATGTTTTATGACCTATTTTTATATAAATTTTGTGAATTACAAGTCAACTCATTACAACCTGTTTGTTTTTGTAATTTCCCAATACCCATGTATGTAAGTTATACATATTTATTTATCTACAATCAATGCCATTCCAGGCCTACTACCTACTATTCCCGAAGTTTATTCTAGCAGGGGAGGAGTGTTATGTCTGCAAAATAATTAATAAATTATAATCATATTTTTTTATCACTATATTTATGTGTAATTTAGGAGGTTGGCATAAGTTAAAGGAGCCATTTGGTTAATAAAAAATAACACATAACGATACCGCCAGGGATTTATATTATGATAGCTACTAATAAAAGCACACATACTCGATAAAACCTATAAAAAAGAGGGATTGTTTAGGGATGAAAACTTTTTTACTTGCCATTATTTATGTCAACTTTAATAATTTTAATATTGATTTGGCCGATTGGGCTTAAATCTCCCTTTGACCTAGCTGCAACATCTTTTATATCGATAAGTCTTTTAACAAGCCTAATAACCAATACCCATTATTTAAAGAAGAATCTTCATTTACAGATGCTGGAAACTTTTGGAAACACTGATCATTATTGATTTCCATCCACCTACAACCCATAGACAGATAGATTGGGATGTGCCTATAGTTGCTCACTGCGTCGAAACACTCTTATCTAGTCTATATTATAATTTCCTCTCCGATGTCCTCACTAAGTCATCGTGACGTCATGTCATCGTGACGTCATGTCATCGTGACGTCATGTCATCGTGACGTCATGTCATCAGCTACGTCATGTCATCGGTACGTACTTATTTTTATTTTTTATTGATTTTATTTTATTTTTTTTAGAGAAAATATTTTTAGACATGAAGCCCAATAAATTTTTTTTAAAAAAAAAACTGCTATTTTAACTAATCTAAATGTGTCATTATTTTTCTGGTCTCCAAACCCTGAACCCACCTAAGGCCGCATTCATAGTGGATCCGATCCAACACGATTTAATAGCTGATCGACTTTTAAAATATGTTTATGAGATCAATTTTTTTTTTTTAAGTAACATTAATTTTATCTTTAATTCTATACGTGATAATAACCTAAGAAATATTGGTTTTAATAAAGAAAAAACCGATTTTAAAAATCGACCAGTTGTTAAATCGCTTCGGATCGGATCCACTATGAATGCGGCCTAAATCCGAACCGGTTTCAGAGATTTTTCTCTGAACCCAACCCCGAGCGAACCCGAACCCGAACCCGAACCCGAACCCGAACCCGTTTTTTTAGAAGGAGTGTTCTCGTTCCTGCTTTATACCATATTTGATATTTACATAGTTTTTTTTTAAATATTGTTTTATGTTATATATTTCACATATTTTGGTATAGGCGGCAGCGTAAATCGGCCCACCAAAATAAATTTTTTATTTTATATATTTTTTATTTTAAATTGCTAATTTCATTTTTTTTTTTTTTTTTGAAAAGTTAAATTAAATTTTAAAAAAAAAATAATAATAATAATATGACAGAAATTTTGTCATATTTTTAGATCATTAATTGAAAAAAAAAAAACTAATTATAAATTTAAATTCAATTTTGTTAATTTTATAGTTTATCATACATAAAATAATCTTTTTTAGATTCCTGGACATATGGATAATCTGGAATTCAACGTCAAACCCAGTGGTAAAGAAAGCCTTTACAAAATGTTCTAGTTACCGTAACACAAATCTTTTTTGGCTAAAGTAGAAAGATTGGAAAGTTTACACTTTTCTCCAAAAATCTGGAATATCCATATACTGTGAATAGTGTTTTTTGAGAAGAATATGGCATTATTGTTCTGTCATTTAAATCATAATTTTATGATTGTTCTAAAATGTTTATTGACTATACTTTTTAAATAATTTGTATTTAATATATATTTTCTCTTGGTTTACAATCTCGTTAAGTTTAATAATCTAATATCTATCATACTCTTTAAATTTAATAATAAATTTTATAAGATGTAAAATTTTGCTTTATTAGTCACAATTCTTGATTTTTAAAATCTTTAGGTCCTAACACTCAGATAATTTTTGAAATAAAACTATCTATAATTAAATTACTATTATTACTTTAAACACGAGAACGCGAGGTAAGTATTTACTATTTTTAAGTGAAATAAACCAAGTTCAATGTAGGTCCTTTTTTTATGAAGTTAAAAATTAAAGTGTTTCTTTAAATTTTGAAGAAAAAAAAAATTTTGGTAGTTCCTCTAGGAGATGAATAGTTCGAGCTTGTCTTCAATTCCTTTCAAATTATATTATTTATTTTTTTATTATTCCATATTTCCTTTTTCAAATAATTTAATACATTGTGCCATTTTGGCGGAAAATTTATTTTTATTGTTTTTATCATTTGAGTGACATTTTATTATAAAATGGAATTTCGATTCGATAACGGATAACAAAGCATGGATCAGTCTTATCAAGTAGCATATACAATATTATAGGTCTATTATATTTTAACCAATTTCTGTGATTGACATTTACCAAATAATTACAACTGCGATGCTGGTTAATCATTAAAATATATAATGTATCAAATATGAAAATTATTTTTTTTTTTTAAAATTAATATTCCGTGCCTCCCCACCGCTACGAATATCGGATGCGCTCCGGCGTGATTTATAAACCGAGGCGTGTGATCAAGCGTCGGTCAACGGCGACTGACGCAAAGGTCTTGTTATATGTAATAAATCATAAATATTCATATAATTCTTTTTAAAATAATTTTTAGCAACAAAATTAGCTTGTAATATTTCAAATTTATGTGACCGCGTTAAGGTTTAGAACAGTTTTCCTCAGAATTTTTTTTTTTCAATGTCGCTAACACGGACCATTATCGACTAATTGATAATTTTTTGACCAAATTATTTATGTGTCTTGTTCTTAATTAGAATCTTTATTTAAAAAGAAGGACTGTAATATTAATCCCAAATTCTAATCTAAAGATTTTTTAAAAAATAATTACATATAGTAAATGTGGAATACCGGCTGAGTATACTGCTTATTGACAGCACAATAAATGGTCTTAAAATGTATTTGAAAGCTTTATTTGTATCATAAAAATCACTTACTTTGTAAATAGCATATTGAATTTTTTGAATGGATATATACTATTTTATTCTACATTCCATAAGTAGTACAAATTTGAAAATTAAATTTTCCATGTTTTGTAAAAATTAAAAAATTTATTCCCACACCCCCATCTTTTCCCAATCATATAGCTTGTCAGACCCATTCACGGCTCAAAATGATTAAAATTAATTCATGCACACCTTACCCCATTAAGTCGCATAGAGGTTTCAAATCATGGCCTCTTCAAATTAATATTAATAGTATTAAAATATCCTCAAATTCGTTTAAATTAATAGAAATAGTTATATTAATTTCTTTTTCCAACAGTGAAAACTTCTAAAAAGTAGTTTCTACATTATCAAATTAAGTCATTCATCATTGTTATTCTAAGTTCATTTTAAATTTAATAGAAATAGATATAATAATTTCTTATATCATCGCTAGTTTGCCAACCATGAGTAGTTTCAACAACATCAGATTAAAATCAATCATCATTTGTTATTCATTTTAAAAAAAAATTTAAAATTATCAAAAAAAATTATTTTCTTACCCAAAAAAAAAACAGAAGAAGATAAGAATGTTACTTTGAATGAAAATGGAAATGCTCAGTTGAATAGGGGTAAGTGAAAAAAATAAATAAAATATTTACAAACGTTTCGATTGGTTCGACTGCAAAAAGTTGGCCCGGTAAAAATGGAGGAGGAAAATATTCGGTCGGGGAATAACGAATCACGAGATGATAGACGGTGAAGAATCCCTAAAGATTGGCATTAAGATTCTTTCAGATTTGATGATGACAAGAATGCAATGTTGAAGGGTGCTTGTCACATTTGAAAGACTATAGTAAAAAAAAAGCGTATGATTAGAATTGAGCTAAATTTACGTTATAATGGAAATTAACATCCGATGCAATATGTTTTCATGCCTGAAAAAAAAATTAAGATTCTTTATAATATTTTAAATTTGTGCCGAAAACGAAACTTACTTACTTATCTATCATATTTTTATTAAGGCTTTCTGCACCTAAGGACCCTTATAAATAATTCGATTCTAATAAGATTTCTTACCTCCTTTAGAGCAACTATCCAAAGTATATTTAACCCTTTGGTTAATAATGATTAGAGTTATTTTTTGATTAGAAAATGTTATAATATCATAAACCATAATTCTAATGAGCCAATCTTTGATTCAAAAGTCTCATTTCCTGGTTAGGTTCCCTTGAATTATTCCTGAAATATAAAAATTTTATCGTTATTACTAACATAACAGTCGTTAATGGATGACTATAAAAATTAGTTTATTTAAAAGAACAAGTTTGAAATGAAATCTTTAGAATGGAGGAATGTTAGGATAACTATCGTCTTCGATAAATAGAACTTGACAGCATCCTCCGCCAATATCCCTGTATTTTCTATGTGGTCATTGATGTATTCGAGAGCGAACATAATTCTTTGTTACAATTTATGTATAGTATTTTTTTATAAAGTTAACCAGAAATATATAATCTAAAATAATTTTTAATCATTGACAAATGTGTTAAATATACCTGGATGGGAGTTTCAATGGAAGAAATGAAATCTTACTATAAAATGGATTACTTCTCTAGAAGTTTCTAAGATTCTCCTTTCCGATGCCGATACGATCGAATGCCTGTAACAAAAAAAATATGGTAGATATTAGCGGTGTTATAAACTAGTTAATTATCGTCCGTAGCCATTTTTTTAACCCAAAACAATATTCCAATCATTCAAGTTGAGACTCAACTTAGAAGCCTAAGTTCAATTTTTTTAAGCTAAAAGTTTGACTAAGCGACTATAGAGATGGTAAAAGTGAGGTAATTTAACACCACTAGTAAATATGAAATTGGTAGCAATGATTATTTTTTTTTTTAAAAAAAAAGATTGGTTTCAAAAGTTATCGGATATTTTTTCGAGAAATGATTGCATCAAGTCTGAAGTTGTCATTAATTGTTGCGCCTCTTTCTAAGACACAACAAACACACAATTTCGTTAGGATAGATAGGAAAGTAGATAAATATGAACCTTTTGGAACTTTAGTAAAATTTTAATTGGACGACCCTGATAGCGTAGAGCTTTTTAGTAGCTACTGACTCTGCCAAAATAACTTCTCCGAAGACTCCTTAGCCGATCAAATCGGATTAAAATTCGCTAGCATCATCCCAATCTGATAGCTTCTTTATACCAAACTTTGGCATTCACCTCCTCTTTATCATCTTCGGGTACGTTATCCCCGACTAAATCTTTTCTTCCTCCTTTTTCCCGGGAGCTCTTTTTTCAGTTGAACCAATCGCGTAACTTACTACATACACCTTTTGGCGCTCTTTTTCTAAATTATATAATGTTAAATATTTATTTCTTTTTTTTTTACCCCTATCTTAATTAGATAGAAAAGTCCTGTGTGTTCCGGCTTTGAGCAAACACGTCCTAATATTAAGAATCTATCTTCCAGCAGGAACAATCATATCCATGTCATCTAAAAAAATAAATTTAAAAACATTCTGTTAGATAATAATGTCACACTTATTTGTTCATGAATATTTGGGGAATTCTGAAAAGTTATCTAAGAAAAAAGGAAGAGATAAAGGATAAATTTACAAAAGATAGATGGCACACCATCTTTTCTCAGAATCAGAACTAACCCAGAAAATAAGATTTTACTCTATACACCAAAATTTATATAAAATAAAATTAATGTTTCTCAGAATTAAGTTATATAATGTTTATAATGATTTTGTTTCATATAATTTTTGACCATTTCTATATTTTTTTTCTTGATTTTAATTCCCAGATTTAGCTGTGAAGGGGAAGGCATAAAAGCAGTTTTCAATTTAGGAAGATCTTAGTTTCTCGCCGAAAAAGATTGTTATTGATGAAAGCGACTCATAATGGTGCCAATCATTAAGCCCTGTATTCATTAACAGATTAGTTAGAACAATAACTGAAAAACTTACATTTTTTTGTATCTATATTTATTTGAATATTTGTGAAGGTATTTAATATTTGTATATTAAATTCTGAAAAAATAAAATAACATCATATCGATTTAATTTTATTCCATTTTAATTTTAAAATGAGTATTTACGAAAGTGAAATTTTAGAAACAAATTTATTAGATATAATGAAAATAGAACTGGAAAAGATGGCGGCCAACATTACAGCTCCTATTCTTAAGTTTTCCATTGAGTTAACTTACAACATCCATCGCCTTTGGCCAACGGTTGTACATTCTTGTCATAAAAGTAGATAGGTGGCATGTAGTTTAGGAAAAACATATGATTTTAACCCATCTTAACCAAAAATAAATAAAGATAGAATACTAAGCTAAACATTTGATCTCTTTATCATTTAGAAAATAACGATTATATATTTTAGGTTTGAAAATTCTATAAAAATATTTATTAAAGTTTACTAATTATGTCTGTGGAGTTAGAAGTAATACTAAATTATTTAAAAGATTAGAGCTTAGATATATATTCTAAATTATTTTTTTTAAAAAAAAAATTTATTCTATTTTGCCATCTTAAGCTACGCTAGCAAATAGATTAAATAAAATTTCATTTGAAAAACTTATAATATTAGACATTATTTTTAAATGCCAATTTTTTCCCACCAGTCTTGACATGACATAAAATGTACTGGTGTCAAATCCTCTAAAATCTATGCCTAACCCCTAAGATAAATTATTTTCGTTACAATGCCCTAAATATAGCTAGCTACATTAATTGATTTCATATACTATTGATATAAAACATTTATAGAAATTAATAAAAAATAGTTTTTGGGGCCCTTGCATTAATTATTTTTGGAAATTTTATGATTTAAAATATATTTTAAAAAAAAAATAAATTTGGAAAGTTTTCGATTTTGGTCTATGTTTAGCAACCTAAACATCCTCGTGTCAGTTGTAAATGTATCATTTATCCTTTTTTCAAAAAATTAATGTACTTATTTATGATGATATATATTTTTGACCACAATTCAGAAATACCCTTTACACGAATATGATAAAACATTAGTATTCAGTTTATGCAAAATCATTTCTTAATTGTAATATAGTGTAGATATTGAAAAAAAATATCTTAATAACGTAGAATCCTCTGATGGCGAAGAAAACTTGGCACTTGAGTTTTTACCGATGAGTATTTCAATCAATGACAATATAATATTTTAAATTTACTTTTTGCTTAATTGAAATTTTCGAGCCTCAGTTCTTTTATTCTAGAGTATTCGTTATACCATATCCTAAATATATTAAAAGAAAGGATTCCTACCAACTAAAAAAAATATGCAATAATCATCGATTCTTAACCTCCTCTCTCCCTGTAAAAAAAAAAGGAGAGAAAGCCAGAGGGCTATCAAAATTGCTTCTAAGAACAACAATAATATTCAATTGTAAATAAACGGCACAAGAAAAACACTTGTTTAATAAAACAAAGAAAATATTACGAATTCCACATAATAATGAGAACTGGTTTCAATGCCCTAATTTCTCCTTTTGTACACAGTGAATTTGTTGCATTTCAATTTTAATCTGTTCCTTACTTGTTCAAATTGTCAATAAACAATCATTCACTAATTTTTTTTTAAATAATTATTTTCCATTAATAAAAGGACTATAATTTTTATCAATAAATTTGTCGCAATAATACAAATATTAAATCAATATTTTTCGATCAAAAGTGCATCACGAGAGAGCTCAGTCTTTCCCTGGGGTGTAACTCATCTTTTCCTAGCAACACAGTTTTAATTTAATTGACGTTTGTTCTTTAAGTTTTACGTGACTTCCCAATTTCCAATCACTCCTACTACTATATATTTCGATAAACAGAGATAGAACAATCCAATTCTCGGTAATTTCTAATTTTATTGATTTTGAAATTAATAAGTAGTTTAAATAAAAAAGAAATAAATAATACAAATAAATATATTTTGTATAAATTATACCCAGCTTCATAAATATTTATTATTTTAAATTATCTCTTTTTTAAAAAATAATAGCAAAAAAAAATTTTATTTTTATAATATAAAATCTCTGTTTGCTACTAAAAGGTATTATTGTAAAAAATGGTATACTAATCATGAAATTTAGCCATGACATTGTATTGTATAAATTAAACGAATTTCGTTAAAATAATATGTTTGTCCTTTCTCCATTTCCTAATAAATCTATACGGGTGAATAATTAAGCATATAAATCGTGTTGGTACACATAACTCTAGCTGAACTCCAAAAGGGGTTAACCGAGGTTTAGGTTATAGCTGCCCGTCTTACTGACAACCAAAATTTAAAAAAAAAATGACACCACTCAGATTGAAAAAAAGTTATCGATACCACTAGCTTTTGTGTTGTTACTTTTTGCTACCTTCAATTCAGCTTAAGTTAATAGCCTAAAATATCGAATTAGATCTCCTTAGAGTAGAGATCTTTCGACTCAAAAATTGAGAACAAATTTTTTTTTTTAGGGATCTAAATTTAGTACAGCAGTTTAGCAGTCAGTTTTAAGGATAAGTTAATTTAACGACAATAACTGAGTTTAAGCTAAGTTAAGCCCCCCCCCGTTATACCTTTAATTATATGCTAATCGAGTCTGTTAACTGCCGTATGAATGTTTTCGAAAAATTTCATAAATCATACAACAATATACAATCTCATTATATTATAATTCTTGGCTTATTTTCCTTGGTATTTTCAAACTAAGTGATCTGCATCGGACCTAATTTTTCTAGCTCGGTCCGAATTTATTCGAATTATAGAAATTTCAACATAAAATTGATAAATTTAGAAATATTTTTTAAAAATAATCGAACCCGGCCCGACCCGAACCCGATTTTAAAAAAAATCGAGCCGGCCCGAAACCCGTTCGAGCCGGGTACTTGTCGGGCCCTACTTTGGCGGATCTCAATTTTAAACTCTATATAAAACATCTTATTATTATTATTATATATATATTTTATAATATTTCACATTTAATTTCGGAATACACACTTAATTTTTTATTAAACGTTTTAATACTCTTCCTTATAAATTGACGTTTGACAGAGACGACCGAAGTCATGCCAATATTTTGTGATGAGTTATAGTTTTAAATCCCGAAAATAAGCCAGGTGATCCAATCCTATTGGCGTAACCAAACTAGAGGTGCATTGGACGGGCGAAAAAATATATACCCACCCGCTCCGCCCATTAGTCTAAAATTTTTTACCAGCCAGCCCATTATTTATGATAAAAATTTTAACCCAAGCCCGCTTATATAATCTAATTATGGTCATTCTTTCATTTTTTTTTAAGCATCTAATAAAAAAATATTTCAGCATTACAACACCCCTACAAAAAGTTTATAATTTAGGGAAATTAGTATAAGTACATAAAATGATCGATGTAAAATTATGGACAATTTATTTTGATCGAATTGAATATTTATGCAAAAAAAATATATAAATGTAAAATTAATATAACAATGAATCGACATTTTCGGGATTCAAACACGTTCTTCTTTGTTCCGTAAATCTTCCAGCAATGCTAAATCCGCGTTCAGCACTAGTTGCAGGAATGGCCAATATTTTTCTCGCTAATCTTGATAGCTTTGGGCAAATCTCTTTCTCGTCGTCGTTTCCACCAAAGCAGGATATCCGTTTGAAGTATATCCTTTTCCTCACGTGAGATCTTACAATAAAAGTTAAACCAATCGCAGAGTGCAAACTCCCCCCCCCTCCAAAAAAAAAAGGAAATTTTAAGAGAAAAGTTTAAACAATTATTTTTCTTTAGTTTGTTTTTAAACAAAAAAATTTAAATTTCCATTTACCCGCCCGCCCAGACCGCCTATTTACCCGCCCACGCCCGCCCACTTAGATAAGCGAGCGTGGGCGGCAGACCTCTAAACCAAACCCTAACCCCCCCCCCCCCCCCCCCATTTAAAAGGCAACATTAATCCAGAAGAATATTATGCAAGTATAAAGATTTTGCTTCTAGATGGCACATAGGATCGAACATCTGTCAGCGACATCTTGACGCCTAGGGCAATATTTTCCTGGCTATCATGTTGAGTTAGCCGTTTAATAACACTGTCCATTCCCTTCTTCCCTAAAATTGTCGCAATTATGAGCAATAATTTTATTTTATTGAATAATAAGTGTAGGATAATTATATTTAAATAATTATTTTTGATTAATATTCATTAAAAAAATGCAAAAATATGACTAAGACCTCCAATAAAGATTATGGGGATCGATGTAACCCGTAACTCTTCCTACGAGAATCCTGAATATGCCAATGCTAAATCCTTGGCTTTAAACCAGATGTACATAACCGCGGTTTTCTAAACATATGGTTTATTAATTATTATTTTTTTTAAAATATAATTAACGAATTATAATTGTTCCACATGGAAAATCTAAGATAAAAAAAAAAGGGAAAAATAAAAAATATTAATGTGCATTGTGCAACTCATTCAAAAATTTTTTTTACTTAATATATACATTTATGTTAAGCGTCAAAAGCGTTTTTTTCCAGCGATATGTCATTTTTTGAGCGCGTTTTTTTAAATTTAAAAATCTGATTCTAACCGGAAATCCGCCATGTTTGTAATACCTATCTTATGAAATTGTAAAACAATTTTTGCAGTTAACCAACCCTTTGGAGTCAATTATAAATTTTAAGTTTAAAAGTTCGTAGAAAAAAAATTGTCTGAGATTCTTAGGAGTATATGTATATTCCAAACATGACGGCATACATTTTCAGGGACACATTGATGCTAACACATATATATATATTAGTGTGGCTAAACTACCTATCTTTTTAGTCAACTATAAAATAGCTTAGCCATATTTTTTATCCAGAAATATTCATTCTAATCAATCTTCAAGTTGAGACTCACCTTAGAAGCTTAATTCAATTTTTCTGTCCCTAAAAGCTTGATTAAGACACAATAGAAATGGTCACTAATATATATAATTTTATGGAAGCAGGTTAAGGAAGAAAAACCCATATAGGAATATGAAACGGATCAAATTAAGAAGTATACACCAAAAAGTTTAGATAAAATTATAATTATTCCTCCAATTAAGTTCTTTCATTTTTTTTAATTGAAGTTTAATTCGATAATTGTTAAAACCAATTAAACATGTTTATCGAAATAATTATATTTTTATGCTATCAAGGTTTTTTTATTATTATTACCTATAAAATATCGTAAAAATTTTTTTATCAAATAAATGAAATATCCCATAAACACCATTTTTTTAAAAATTAAAATTGTTATTTTATAATTAAATTATATTATATTTTACAAATCCATTATCTCCATACTTAATTATGCAAGATAGTTATAACGAATACGGTTCGGTTCAGGTTCAGCTAGAATTTTTTTAGCGGTTTAGGGTTCGGTTCAGGTTTGATAAAAAATACCGGTTTTTAGCGGTTTAACGGTTTGGTTCAGGTTCGGTTTGGATCCCTGGTTATATATATATATGTATGTTAGCGACAATGTGTTTATATTTTGAGCGCGTTTTTTTGAAAATTTAAAATTTTTAATTTAGCCGGGAATGTTTTCCAGAATGTTTGGAATACCTACACCTATAAATTTCAGACAATCTTTCCTTGAATTTTTTAAACTTTATATAATTTATATTAAATTGTCCATATATTTTTTTAAGACATTGCCTGTCTTTCTTTCTTTCTTTCTTTCTTTCTTTCTTTCTTTCTTTCTTTCTTTCTTTCTTTCTTTCTTTCTTTCTTTCTTTCTTTCTTTCTTTCTTTCTTTTCTTTCTTTCTTTCTTTCTTTCTTTCTTTCTTTCTTTCTTTCTTTCTTTCTTTCTTTCTTTCTTTCTTTCTTTCTTTCTTTCATTCTTTCTTTCTTTCTTTCTTTCTTTCTTTCTTTCTTTCTTTCTTTCTTTCTTTCTTTCTTTCTTTCTTTCTTTTATCACATATATTATTTTTTATAAGAGACCTGTGGAGGTACCATATGCACGGCCCGGTCCGGGTCGGATTTTTTTTTAAAAGATTTACCGACCCGGCTCGGATTTATATTTTTAGGCCCCGGTCCGGCTCAATTTTTTTGGAAACCGGACCGGTTTTTATATTCTATTCCTATTATCTTGTACTCTATTTGACCCATTCCTTGATCAATATAAAACTTTATTAAAGGGTCAACTGGCCAGGGGCATCGCCCCTTGCTCCATTTATTTTTTTTTAAAAAGGGATTCGTCCCCATTACCCCCCCCCCTGGTAGTGGTTTGTTTCGCTTTAGCCTGGCCATCACCCAATTTACCTTCCTAGAATTCATATATTTTACTAAATCAATTATAAAATATACGTATATTCGCTAAATCTAAATCATATCTTGCACAAATGTAGAAACTAACTCACCGCTTTGCCGTCATAACCCGTGTCGTTAACGGCCCGATTTGAGCCGATTTTTAAAAACGGCAAACTTTTAGCCAGAAAAAATATTTGTCTAAGCCTCGTGATTTGGCTAACAGATGTCCAAACCTTCGTGTCAGTTATGAGCTAAATCTTTAAAAGGAATATATCTAACATGTTATCGACAATATTGACTTGATATTTGAAATTTGCTGAACGCGTGAGAGCATAGGTCCCACCGCTGTACTTATAAATTTTTTTTTTTAAATATGCTTAAATACCTTTAGCAGGATCTTCATTGAGAGAGAAAATAATTCGGAAGGAACACGAAAAAAAATTTACACCTATCCCGAAGGCCTACCCCACTAAGAAACAGACCGAACTCCTACCCGCTAAGAAACAGGGACCGAACCATACCCACTAAGTAACCGTAAACCCTAACCCACCTAAGTAACAGACCTAAACCCTAACCACCTAAGTAACAGACCTAAACCCTAACCACCTAAGTAACAGACCTAAACCCTAACCACCTAAGTAACAGACCTAAACCCTAACCACCTAAGTAACAGACCTAAACCCTAACCACCTAAGTAACAGACCACCTAAACCCTAACCACCTAAGTAACAGACCTAAACCCTAACCACCTAAGTAACAGACCTAAACCCTAACCACCTAAGTAACAGACCTAAACCCTAACCACCTAAGTAACAGACCTAAACCCTAACCACCTAAGTAACAGACCGAACCTCTAGCCCCCTAAGAAACAGGTCCTGAGGCAAACACTGAATTTTACAATGTATATCTAAATTCGGGATTATCATTATATTATATATATTATATACAAAATACAAAATACAAAATATTATCGGAAATATTATTGATAACAATATTATATACAAAAATAAATACATATAATTATCTTCTTAAAAAAAATGTAAAATGCTGTCTATTCATACAAAATTTATATCTTATTATTTAAAAAAAATTAAATTTTAAAAATTATTTTATTTTTTAAAAAAATTAATTCCTATTTTTTTTTTTTTTTTAGATTTAAAAAAATGATTTCGCAAAAATAAATTTTAACAAAAATAAAGTTTTTAAAAATCATTTAAAATAATCTTATAAAAGAAAAAAAAATAAATAAAATATTTTGTAAAATAAAAAGATTATTTTAAGAGGAAATGACATCTTTTTGTCGTTATATCTCTCTTTTTTAAAAAATATATAAAATTTAAAAAAATAAATATGTCTACGCGATTGAAGACATTTATGAAATGAACCGTTCTTCTGGCATTCCGAGCATTCCAATCTTGAGATCGATGTTAGCCTTTTCCAGGTCTCCATCCCTGATTCCCGCCTTCAGTTCCTCCGCGGACATCGAAAAATTTGTCACCACCATTCCGACTAGAGATATTAAGAGGATGATATCTACTACCACCAGGGTCAACACTTCCGCGATAAAGTTACCCCCTTCCCGCGCCCTTTTCGATATCGCTAACGCTAAAGGTACCACGTCGGCCATGGCGATGGCGAATTCAGAAACTTTCGGGACACCTAAAGAGGAATTCGAGGGAATAGAACGAGACCATTCCATCATCAAGATAATAGTGGGGATAGTGGTTCTGATGTCGAGTTTTTTCATCACGGTGGCCTTGATTTACTTAGTGAGGACCTGTAAATTCAAGATACTGTCATTGTTTTCGCACACCCTGGGATATAGCCTGATAGACGGTTACCGCCCCGTCAACAAAAAAGGCTATGGTCATTTCGGGGCAGGTTATAATCTCCCCGTCACAACGATCGAACCGCCTATAACAGCTGATTCGCCGCCAATGAAACCCAAATTTTCCGTAACATCTCCCAAAACGACGCACCAAAAATCTAAGGATACATTATCCGCGGATAGTGATCACCCCGCTGGTCACTCGTCGAAAGATGACCTTACGGATCGCGTTGAGGTGAAAGGTTGGAACAGGGTTTTCGCTATGAAGGATAAATTGGCTGCGTTAGCTGCCGAAAGTGGTAAATAGCAAATTTATTTATAAAACGAAAGTTAAGATCTTTATTCATTTTTTTGCAATTTAGAATGCTTGGATCTTTTCCCTCACATCTTTTTATTAGTATTATCTACTACAGAAATCAAGGAAGAAGTTAATTCCTTTAAACTCCACTAGAAAACTTGGTTCTGAGTATATATTTTTTGAGTTTGTTGATATTTATTTTTTAACAATCCCTCCTTTTCTGCTTATCGCAAAAAAAAAATATAATTAACAAAAGCCTCACTTGAGCTCATTATGGGGAAGAATGGCAGATAGAAAAAATAGGATTTGAACTTTTTATTAAAATTAAAATAAGAATTTTAATTAGACAAAGTTAATGAGGGCTAACTTGGTCTAGCCGCGCGGATTCCAAGGCTCATTATGCCCCAACGATATCAACGGGGTGTGTATTGTCCCTGTTTATTCGAAATCGAGAGGAAAGGAAGATTGGACAAAATAAAACTTTTCTATCAAACATTGATTTAAAAAGGATAATAAAATTTATTTTAAAGTCACGTGAACAAACTTTGGTTGGGTCCATTATACCCCAGCGATAATCAATGGTTTTGATAGTGGGGGATATGACCAAAATAATTCTTAAATCGCTAAATTTATCGTTGTCTATGCTCTCTACTAGCGTTTTGAGTCAATTTTTAAAATCATCTAGAATAATATCAGGCAAACCTGAAGATTTTGTTAGTAGAAGGAACATAAGGTTTAAAATATCTATCAACTGAATCTCGAGGCTTAGCGCCATTTAACAACACCACTTTCTACGTGACCATAATTTATAAATTATTCAATTTTTTTAGTTACGAAAGATAATTTTCTGGGCCATAGCGACCTTAGCTAGTTTCAATGCTAAGTCTTGACGAAAATTTATTATTTATATCAGCTCTAAGTTCGAATTTCCCCAAGATTTTAAATATATAAGAAGTTACGGATTACAAATAAAACAATATATTTATTAACACATATGAAACTAGATTATTATTTTAATTATTTTTTACATATTAATTGTAATATTGTCTATCCCCTTGAGTCAAATTATATAGGAAGGATAGATTCGTTTGACAATATATTTTTCCTTGTGTCAACTTGGATATCTTGTAACCCGCCAAATAGCTGTCTATATATATATATATCTAAAAAAAGGGAGGGGGGGGGACTGATCAATCAAGATTTTGATTTATAACAAGAATTGAGATGCCATAAAGTTTCAAAATGATTTTACAGACCCTTTTTTTCAGAAAAAGATTCGATCAGTTTTGGCTCGGGTAATCGGGTGATATAATAGTGGGTCTATTTAGTCCAGGTCCGGTTTGGACGGGCTACTTTAAACCGAACTTATTCGATTCGACCTGCCCCGTCTCCTAGAAAACTCTTCCGCCGCATTTTGCCATACCGGAAGTCTCGAGAAGAGACAACCGACACCATTTATGGTCTAAGTTGTGTTCGCCGCTCTCCCGCGATCCCCTTTCCCCCATTTTATCTTGTTTATACATCGTTCACCAATAATGATCGTCATCTCACACAGACCCCCCTTTTCTCGGAACGAAGCAGAATTAGATTCTGAATTGAACTAGCAACTGTGATTCACAATTAACTAGTGTTTGTTAAACGGGTTCGATTCGAGCCGGTTTTTTAAAAACCGACTTAACTCGACATTTTATCCAGAGAAATTTTTTCGCGAGGCAGGCCCGAAGATTTTGCTCATAAATGGCACAACTGTTCGGACATCTTCTTCAGCGAAATGGCCAGGCTTACCGCAATATTTATTTCCGGCTACCATAATGAGTTGCTACTACTAACCCTAACAATCAATATAAATAAAATTAATCATTTTAATAATAAAATGATCAATATCACTTTGAGTCTGCTTATTATATGTCATATATTCCACCCCCCCCCCCCCCCATGGGAATTTATAAAAGAAATTTTAAAAAATCTTTCATTTCAATATATAAAATTTAACGGCTATCGTAATAATTATTATATATAAAGTTTCGTTTCATTTTTTTTTTAAAAAAATATTTTTTAAAAGATTCTCTGGTAATAGCGGAAGAGAACGAAGGTTATAACGGCTGCCCCACTTCGAATAATTTAACGGTTCCAATCATGATAGTGTTAGATAGTCCCAATGGCACTCAGAAACGAATCAATTAACAAAATTGAAAAGGTGTCAAAGTTGTTCGAAATAATAATTAAATGACATTTATCGATTATAGTCCAAATTTTTTAAAAATTTGAATCTCTTTTTTTTTTAGATTTTATTTTCCATATCCTTACAAAAAAAAATAATATAATTTAAAATTTATTATAACGTATTAATTATATATAGAAATAAAATTATATTTTTATATGCAATAATCATTTGATTAAATTACAATTTTACATGTTAAATTAGATTAGATTAGACAGACAGACATCATAAAAAAATGATGATAATTTAACGTTTTAATTGGCCTATAATTATTGTGATTTTGTCTTTTATAAGTAATATATAATCAATTCAAAACTAAAAAACTTTAAAAAGATAAATTTTTAATGTTCCCTATGCCAATTCCAAATTTGATAATAAATAAAAGATGTCCAGACTTTCTTTCTTTCTTTCTTTCTTTCTTTCTTTGTAAATTATAACATAGAGCTTATATCTTACAAGTCAGCTAATTATTAATATGTAAGCTATGACCAATCCTGTATCTTTGATAACTAAAATCAACATAGTTTTTATCACTTTACTACATTTTTTTAAAATTATATATATATATATTCCATGTAATAAAAAGAGACGTTATTTTTTATTTTTAACTCTATTATAAAGTATAAGAGAAATCGACAATAAATTGAAAATGCTATAAAATATAGATTAAAGCTAATTTAAAACGTAAATTTTATTCTTTACAATATATTACTAGGCGGAAATTAATAATTAAAAGAAATCTTTTAGTATTTTTTTAAATTAAATTGAAATTTTTTATTAAAAAAGATGAAAAATTTAAGAAAAATTTAAAACACCCAAAAGTATGTATGTTATTCCAGTTTAACAAATGTTGTTTATTGTTGGTTCATCTATAGAAGAAACTTAAACTTGTTAATACCAACTTTGTCGTTTAATTTACAAAAAAATTATAATTCGGCCATCTTCATATTATCATTCGTTTACCATAGATAAACTCGTTGGCTATCTAGTGGTTCTTATAGAAGTTGAATCCCTCCTTAAAAATACCTTTAATAACGTACCCCGTCAAAACCTGCCCCAGTCACATTTATAATCGAAATTTAATTATATTGTTCAAAATTTCTATACCCTGATAAAATTGAGATTATTACTTTATCATTTAGAAAAAATAATATTTTCTAAGTAACTTTTGTAAAAAAAAAAAGAAAAAAGATTATAACTTTTTGCAGTGTTTATAAAATTATAAATTTTAATAATATTAAAAAAAAATTTCCTGAGAATATTTCTGGAGAAATATTCTTAGAGTCATTCGAAGCCTCTTCTTTGATTACATATATGGCTAAAATTTTTCAAATATCAAAGTTTATTAAGTATTAAAAATTATTTGAGAAAGAAATTACCTGCCCCCGAGATAATACTAACCCCCTGGTCTCCCCAATTAATAATATATTTGCCAAATTCTATATCACAGTTAGGATCTTCCTAAGGATGGGGGCAGGGGATTCTATGTTAGAATTAACCATACTATGTAAGAAAGAGGGGGGGGGGCGAGGCTTTGTTTTTTATTTGCTTAGAAATGATATATGCAAAGAAAATTTTTTTTTATTTAAGTAAGTACATATAACTTTTTCACTGCTGAAAGAAAGAAAAGAAAGAAAAGAAAGGAAAGAAAGAAAGAAAAGAAAGAAAAGAAAGAAAAGAAAGAAAAGAAAGAAAAGAAAGAAAAGAAAGAAAAGAAAGAAAAGAAAGAAAAGAAAGAAAGAAAGAAAAGAAAGAAAGAAAGAAAGAAAGAAAGAAAGAAAGAAAGAAAGAAAGAAAGAAAGAAAGAAAGAAAGAAAGAAAGAAAGAAAGAAAGAAAGAAAGAAAGAAAGAAAGAAAGAAAGAAAGAAAGAAAGAAAGAAAGAAAGAAAGAAAGAAAGAAAGAAAGAAAGAAAGAAAGAAAGAAAGAAAGAAAGTTTCATTTTTATTTTCCAATAATTCTTAAAAACACATGATAGATTAAAAAAAATTATATATATTTAAAGGATTAAAATTAATTATATTTTTAAGTTTTTTTTACATATAATAAATATTAACTGATCATAAATTTATACACATAATAAAACAAACATTTCTTTCATGAATTCATAAATGTTTTCATTTCGTTTATAGATTAATATTAAATCTATCTATCTAACTATCTATTTTCATTGTTTTTTTATAGAGTTTTTTTTATTTAAAAGTTTAGATAATTTTGAAAAAATTGATTTATATCATATTGGATAAAAATCAATTTTTCTCTACTTACAAGTAGTGTCTGTCGTTAAACGAAAACGGTTATAACTCAATACTTCATTCTAAGCCTGAAAATTTTTCTCGTAGAATAGGAACTAAGATTTTCTAGTCATAATATTTATCAAAATTCTCCCGCCTTAGGCAATATCTTACTGTCTAAAAATATTGAGTTAGAAATATAGGCTCGTAACTGCAAGGGAAGAACCTGATAATCACTTACTCACAAAAAACGTTGGCTGAGGTTTTCAGCGTTATTTTCCCATTCATTATTTTTGTAAAAAAAAATTATATTCAAAATTAATTAGTATTTTCACAAAATTTATCATAAATTTGAATGAATATTTAGTATCGGTCATAACGATCGTGACAAAACATAATCATAAAAAATAAATATATTATATTATATAAAAGTTTATTTTTTGAATATTTATATTAAGTAATGTTATTCCCCATATATTATATTAATAGATAATTCTTATTTTAAAATAAATATTAATATCTGTATATATCAATGTTAATGTTATATAAAACATGGTCATATAGTCAAACTTTTTTAAGGGGATAAGTTTATATATATTTAATTTTAATTACAACTATAATATCTTTCTTTCTTTCTTTCTTTCTTTCTTTCTTTCTTTCTTTCTTTCTTTCTTTCTTTCTTTCTTTCTTTCTTTCTTTCTTTCTTTCTTTCTTTCTTTCTTTCTTTCTTTCTTTCTTTCTTTCTTTCTTTCTTTCTTTCTTTCTTTCTTTCTTTCTTTCTTTCTTTCTTTCTTTCTTTCTTTCTTTCTTTCTTTCTTTTTCTTAATATTGAGAGAAAAATTAGTTTTTTTACTGTAACTCATAAAATGAACTTTTTTGTTTTTACATAACATAATATTTAAGTTAGAGATCGGCAAATCACGGCACGGCTCGAGTGGGTTTTAAACCGGGTCGGTTATAATTTTTTAAAAAACAATTTCGGTTCGGGTCTAACATTTTTATTAAAATTTCGTGCCTGCAAATCACTAATTTCCAACAATGGGGTAGAAGGGTAGGGGGTATTGTGACTCAAAGTCGTTGAAACTAAAGGGGGACTGAAGCTGGGGAATGAATGGGAAGTAGAAAATATTCAATTTTCGTTTCTTTTCTGCTAATTTTCATTTCGAATTTCCTTTTCGCTACTATTGATTTTGATTTTTTTTTAATTAAAGTTTAAATAAACGATTAGGAAGGGGATTGGGTTGAGCTTGTGATATTAAATATATAAAAAATATTTTATATTATCAATATCAAATCAGAAAATAAGAAAATAAGAAATAATAATATATAATAAATAATAATATATATTATATAATAAATAATAATAAATAATAATAAATAATAATATATAATAAATAATTACAAATATTTTAATTTAAAAGTAAAATGCTACAAACATTTCGTTTTTCATTTAGTACATTGCGCAAAAAAAAAAGAAGAAAAAAAAAGAAAGAATCAAAGAAAACTAAAATAGAAAAGGTAATATAAAAAATAAAATATACACAAAAGAAAATGTAATGTAAACTTAAATATTGTTAAAAACCGGTTTATCGTTTGGGTCGATTCGTTTAATAAATGACCAGTCCTGATTGCTCCTTTTAAAAACCGGTTCAACAATCGGTTCGGTTCGATTAAAAAAGACATGTGATTGCTACTTTATAAAACCGGTTTGTCAATCGGTTCGGTTCGATTAAAAAAGGCATGTGATTGCTACTTTATAAAACCGGTTTTTTCAATCGGTTCTGTTCAGATTTAAGGTCCGTGTCCTTGGTCGGCTTACTTAATTGCCTTTTTTTTAATATAGGTTAAAAATCCAAAATATCGAAAGATTTACAATTCACAAATTTTCCAAAAACTTTAATAAAAAAAAATAAATAAATAAGCTATTTTAAATATAAAAATATAAATCGTGTCCAAAAACAATAAATTTTCAAAAATTTAACATGTACGAATTTTTCGTAAAAAATATTAAAGATTTGAGAAAGTTTCAAAACTTTTCGAAATTAAAATGGGTTTGGACATTAGACATCTACAAAAGTGAACCCGGTCGCGTGCTTTCACTCAATGTTTTTTTTGTTGTTAAAGAAGAAAAATGATCTTTCATTGGTAGACCTAGGACCCATAGCAAAAAAATATATTCTAGGCTTTGGAGGGAGGAGTGAAGTTCGACCCTCTACCCATCCCACCATCCACTCCCACTGCTGCTGCTGCTGCTGCTTAGGCACGTCTGATTGTTAGGATCAGGATCCGAATAAAAAACTTAAATATGTAGAAATACGAATGGTTAATTTCAATCTAAAACAAATATTATGGATATAATTTTGAATGGAATTTATAATACAATTATATTAAATATTAGGAAAACGTGCCATTTGTTAATACGAGACATATTTCTGTTGAATTATTATCGTGTTTAAAAATATTTTTATATGCTAGTTTCGTGATTAATGGGACATTTGGGGTCAAAAATTAGATAATTTATTGATAATTATTTTTTTTTTACAAGATTACATGAAAATTGTTTTTTAAAACCAAATTATTTCTATATTTTTGGGGGGTGGAATTTCCAGCAAGAATCGATAATCATTGAATGAACTCCCAACTTACATCTTTCAATTAATCACGATAAACTGAAAAAAAACATAAAGTTTTTTTTTTTAATTATATTAAATTGACCAATAGAAAACAGGGCGTAAAAGTGAGTGACTTACCCTTTTTAATATAATTTTTTTTTTTAATTTTTTTTATCATATTAAAGCCATTGTAATTTTTATATTTCTTTCTTTCTTTCTTTCTTTCTTTCTTTCTTTCTTTCTTTCTTTCTTTCTTTCTTTCTTTCTTTCTTTCTTTCTTTCTTTCTTTCTTTCTTTCTTTCTTTCTTTCTTTCTTTCTTTCTTTCTTTCTTTCTTTCTTTCTT